GGGGGGGGGGCTGCTGGAGTACTACTGTGTGAAGCAGTTAATGCATGACATAATATCACCTAATGCACAATAATGGAAAGTTAGTCATGCAGTGTAACATGCTCGTCTTGCAGAATTAATCTCTTCAAGCAAATTGTACTCATCTTCTGCATGCCGTAACATTTCTCTTCTTTTCCTGCTAAGTATATTTGACTCGGCTGTAGACTTTCCCAGATAGGGGCTGGTTTCTGTTTACTATTCCTAAAATGGCTGATTCTTGTTGTAGTCAAAGTCACTTAGGGATTTGAACTAACCATTATTTATTGTGTTATATATTGTTATACCTTATCTAAATGGTCAATATGCAGACATGGATATGAGTCTCTCAAACCTGTATCTTCTGTATTCGAGTGCCAAACCACCAGACAAAGCAAACCTCTTAACATGCTCAGCATCCTCCATAGTCACTCCCTCAACCTCCCTAACTGTTGCCCTAAATGATAGTAAATGTGTGGTGTTGTGACCGACCTAAAGAAATGCCTTTGGGTTTAAGTGCTGCATTGTGTGCAGGCTGGTCAGCTGAACTTGTCACGATCTTTATACTGCCATGCTTATCAGCCCCCATTATACCCTTATCATGCAACTGCTTTTTATGTAATCTGTTGCACACCGTGCTTTCCTCTATGCTATTTTAGTAATATCTTACGTTGAGGAGCTTTAAATCATGTCTGCAATCCTCTGCCTCTTAAACGCATGTAACACATCTGTATTTGTAGTGACTTCACTAGAGGTAGTATCTGCCACAAGAAGTATAACGTACTTGAACTTGTTGTGTAGTGATTCAGTTGTGGGTTATCTTGTTAACTTTAATTATCAATGTGTATGATTTGCTGCCAAAATGTTGCAACAGCATTGGTGTGTTATTAATCTTTTCCCTTATCTGTATTGCAGGATTTTGGGAGTGAAGATGAACGGCGAATAAATCAGAGGTAAGTTTACTCCAAGTTGAGTTTTGCCTTTCTGTTGCATGGTACTTGGCAAAGCAACTTTTATACACAGGTGCTGTTGACTGATTGGCTAAATCTACTTTGAGTCATTTGGTGAAATCTGGAGTGGCGACAGACTAGCATCAACAAATCAGGGTGACTACGTGTCAGTGTAATGAAACACCTTTCTGTCTGTCTTGTTGGCATCTCCTCATCTTGCCAATTGTCTTCCAACTGTCAAACCCTGTTATTCGCAGTAGTCTCTCAAGTAGTGTGTTGACAGACAAGTCTGCATTTTTTTATTTGAACGTTGCATTATGAGTTGAGTCATTTGGCATTTCAGTAGCTCTTTGTGTGGAGCGAATGTACTGCATTGAATTGATAGAAAGCCGATCATGATTTTGGAACTTATGTGTTATAATAATTGACTGGGTATACATGTAAACACTAAATGGTTTTGTGAACATTTACTGTTTCTAAACTTTCTACCCCTTTCAGTCAAAATAGGAAAAACTAATTATTTGTCTCTCAACAAAAGATAAAAAGTTGGAATCCGTCCTGTGGATTAAGACTTTAGGAATTTTGGTAAAACTGATGTTTTTACCAAAATGTTTGGTTTTCACCCTGCAAGTTATGACAGCTCTCCTTTCACTGGTGAAGACATTTTGTGAATAGAAAAAAATAATTGTGTTAAAGTTGTACCATCAATATGCAGTCAGGGCACGGCAGTCTTTAATCTGGCTGTCAATCAAATAGTTACAGGCCTAGGATGGACTAGGGTCTGAAAAAAACTTTTGCACAGTTTTCACTGAAGTTTCAATGTTTTTAAGATGTTTTCAAGTAGAAAAAACGTACAATTTGACTTTGTTCTTTTCTTATCTGACTTCATGTAACACCAGCAATATACATTTTGTTTTGGGCAGTACTGTGATGTTCCCTTTGTAGCTTTATGCTGACTAAAAGGTTTCCTTCTGGGTGTTATTTTGCAGTTATCGTCCATAATGAAAATACTACCACTGAAATGCAACAACTCTTGTACTGAAAAGCATCCACATCCAAGTGCTGCTTGTGTATTTTATCAATAATCAAGACAATTGTAAAACAGAGTTTCTCTGCCAAGAACCGTGCAAATACACTTTAAATCTTGTGTTTATCAGAGATGTGTTAATAAATCACTCGGCATAAAAAAGTAATACAAAATATCAAATGGACTGAAGATACCTCGGTTGAAAGAAAATAATGACCGATTACTCAAAAGTCTTATTATAATGTTTTAATTTGCTTTAGTGTGATCTGTGATTTTTCATATCCTTTGTCCTGAAAACCTCACTTGGATTTGGACTGAAATGTTTTCTTGAAAAAGCAGAAGACTTGTGTCCCTAAAACAAGCAACATTCTAAGAGTTCCGTGTCTTTTCCTTTATGCAACAGCCTGTGCAATGTCCCGTGTGTGAGAATGTCCTGTGCATGATGCAAGCCCTGTCTTGCCACCAGATTGCTTGGTAGGCCACGTAATGCAATAAATTACTTGTAAATTCCTGTTTTCTAATATTATGGCATTTGAGTTGTCCTTTATTTGACAGAAATATTTATCTTAATATCAGGGTGCAGTGATCTAGTAAACTAAATAGATAGCTTCATCTGTTGAAGGACAGCCATACGATTGCCAAGTGGGAGTATTGATGCTTGCTGTTCCCCAACTGACCTTGATGATGATGACAAGCCCAAAGGGGTTGATGGAGGCCAACATAAACATTGTGCAGGTGTTGGTGGCATTGGGCCAAGGTATGATTTAATCCTAACACCTTGTACACACCGCACAGTTGAGCAAGAAACTGAATATGGGTTTATGCATGTTTGTTTGTGTTGAGATATGGGGTTCAGCACGGAGGCTAACACGGAAAATCTGTAGCTCCACAGAAATATATAATTAATTTAAACTCACCACAACACTTTCCCACTCAAATAGCACACTTGTCAAGACTTGTAGTGATAATAGATGGGAAAAGTGCAGCGGTGGACTCCCTCAGATATGTAAACTATGTGTGGATCTTAGAAACATAGACTGGCAAACTGCAGCTCCATCTCTGGGTCTTTGTCGTAGGTTTCCTTAGTGACAGGATGACGTCATTTGTTTCCAGCTGAAGCCCTACGTGACTCTACTGACATCTGAGGAGGTTTCTTCCTCCCTCTCTGTCAGTAGTGTTAGTGAGAGAATGGCAGCATTATGCAACGGGCAGCCTCAAGAGGAGGCCTTTTATCCTCACTGTGTGCAAAACACTCTTGAGACCTTAAATAAACCAGCCTGCTTACTGCCTCTGTGGAGCCTTTTTACAGTCCGTGAGTCTTTGGTGTAATCCAGCCTACTACTCTCACATACCAATACACATGATGACCTGCTGAGAGCAGCGACCCTTAGGATATCTGGCCCTGTTTGGACTTCATCACGTTCATCTTGCTACTGCTGCAGAAACATGCCTCATCATTAACACGCCAGTAGTCCTACCTGCTGCTTGTATAAAGCTTGACCTCTCATACGGTGGAAGTTGCCTTCTCCTTGCACCTGACACACTGAGCTGTCCAAGTCTCCACCTGACACATAGCTAAACCAATGCAAGCTTGTAGAGAAATACAGTGTCTGGTAGTAATCAGTGTTTTAGGATTGGTCCTATAATGACTCGGAAATGAAATGGAAATAAGTTAGCATTTTCCACTTTCTGTTCCCGCTTCTTGAAGTTAAGTTTGGTTAGATTCCTGAAACAGGGTTTTTGTTTAACACAAGCTGAAATGATGTTAACGTTGTACAACATAAAACATCAGTAATTTCTCGACTCGTGAATTTTGATTGGTAGCTTTTTAAATCTGACTTTACATTTCAATAATCATCATTGGTGTTGCTTTGTAGAAGTTATCTTACTACCAACAAAACCTGTACGTTTTTAAACTTTAATTTGCCACAGATCTTATTCTCGGAAATAGTCTTAAACCCAATGGAAAAATCCCATTTGCTTTTTGTCGAGGAAACCAGGGCAATGTTAATGTTTCTGGTTGGATTACAAACATGTCATCCTTACAGAGCTCTAATCAAGAATAAAAGTAGATCTATCTTGTTATCTACGTCGCAGAGCTATTGTTAACGTCAGTCAGGAAATCCTACCAGATTAGATTAGAGTCATACCCCTTAAAGGTGGGGTAGGTACATTTGAGAAACCGGCTCGAGATACACTTTTTGTTAAATTCCATGGAATGCTCTTAACATCCTGATAGCAATGAATATCTTAAGTGCTTTGACAAAAAATCCATAAAAAAATGTCATCTGTGGAAGCCGTAGTACTGTAAAAAGCACGACCAATCCTCAGTCCTCCGCTCGCATCTCCTGTGGGCGGCACTAAGTCTCGAGGATAGGAGTCGAGGAGGGGAAATTAGTACTCTAATTTCCCCTCCTCGACTCCTATCCTCGAGACTTAGTGCCGCCCACAGGAGATGCGAGCGGAGGACTGAGGATTGGTCGTGCTTTTTACAGTACTACGNAGGAAGTTTTGCAGTATAGTTTGAGGGAAGTCTCGCGAGAGTTCCTTCTCTGAGTAGTAACGTTAATCTCGCAACACCTGCTCTATCAACGTTCAGATTGACAGAAGGTGAGAAATAGCAGACACTTTAGAGGTTTCTCAATACTCTAATTTCCCCTCCTCGACTCCTATCCTCGAGACTTAGTGCCGCCCACAGGAGATGCGAGCGGAGGACTGAGGATTGGTCGTGCTTTTTACAGTACTACGGCTTCCACAGATGACATTTTTGTATGTATTTATTGTCAAAGCATTTAATGTGTCCATTGCTATCGGGATGTTAAGAGCATTCCATGGAATACAAGTGTTTCTGAAATAAATAACATTTCCCACCTTTAAGGGTAAAATGTAAAAAACAAAATCTAAATAACAGGTAGAATTTAATAGAAAATATGGGTGAAATTTGGAAAATAAATAGGTTTAAATTTAGTAAAACCAAACATAATTAAGGGTTAAAAAAAAAAATCCTGCTTTAATGTTACATCTAAAAAAAAATGATATGTCAATTTTCCAGCATGGATGTATGGTATAGGTTTTTATCGTATATAAAAGGTGTTAAAAGTGTTTGTAGGCAACAAGTTGAACAGTTTAAAATGTTTTTTTTGCGATACGATAAAGGCTTCAATCTCTGTTACAGAACAAATGCTTCTAAAATATAGAAACAACTATACACAACTACTGCAGCAGCACTTACTAATAACTTCATTAGTCTGCTTATCAGTTTGCATCCTGATGGTTTAATGCACTTATGGTCGTTTTGGATCAAGCATCAGCTAAATGTAATGTAACAGGGATGAGATCGTGTTTCTTCTGCTAACGACTGTGTACTGTCTGCAACATTATAACATCACTTCCTGTGTGTGTGTGTGTGTGTGTGTGTGTGTGTGTGTGTGTGTGGTGTCAGGAGGACATTATAATGCATTTCTTAAATCTTAGAAACGTCAGGTAAGCTAAAATTAACATAAGAGGTTAATGTCTGCTTCATGGAAATGGAGAAGGTTGGCTAGAACCATGAATTAGTTCATCCTGATGAGAATGTTCAGTTTCAGGAACCTTAGTCATTTCCATGTTTTGTCAATATTCTTAGTTTGCATTGTTTTCATTTCCTCATGGTTTGTAATACGTTTTGTTGGTAAATTGTTATGAATCATGAAATGGTGGTGTCGAGTATGTTTTCCGTTGTCACGTTAAGTGTTAACAGATTTACATTTTCAAGTGTACGTGTGTTAGAAAGAATTCTGAGAGGTTACTGTCTTCCTTGGACATAGATAGCAGCAATTTCAGAAATTGAACTCCAAGAATAACACGTTATTTGACATTTTAGTGGTATTGTCATTTGTGGTCACCTTAGTGTCTTCCATATTTTATCCGTTAAAAAAAACTTCCGTGGTAAAAAAAATTCCTGATCTAACTAAGCGCAAATTTGTAATTTAATGTA